GCCACATTTCGCTCAACCCATATTATCTTTAGGCTAATTGCATTAAAAAGAGGTTAACTGTGATTGCTTGTATTATTTTGTGGATTATAACTTTTATTCAGAGCTTTATTGCTTTTGACGGTAAAAAGGTTTAATTGATGATGATAGGAGCACTCATGCAAGGAGGAAGGGCCTTGGAAGTTAATGAAGAAATCATGCCAAGATAGCAAGAATAAAGTGTTCGGATGCAAATAAAGTCATCTGAATGGAAGAGAATCACTTGAATGGATGAAAAGAAAAAAAGAATTTCTAGAGGAATACAGGTGTCCGGGCAGAGAAAATGCACATCCGAACACGGCTCGGCGAAAATGTTGGATTTTCTCGTGTCTGGACGTGTGTTTTTGCAGTCCGGATGCGAGGTCCCTTTTGCCTACCAACTTCTTGTTGACCTAAACTAGGTTTTTATTGCCTAATTGAGTATAAATACTCCTTTACCTTATTTTAGGAGAGACCTTTGGCCTAGACTTCCTCCTCTCTAGTTTTTGTTGTATTTTGCTTTTTATGTCTTTCTAATTCTCCAACTAAAGCTAGGGGTAATTGTCCCAATGAAGTACGGTATTTATTTTTGAATCGATGTTCTTCAATGTATGAATTATTTTGTTAATTGATTCTTATTTATTGATAAAGTTTTTGCTTTTTAAAATTTATTGATTTATTGTGCCATGTACAATGAATGCTTTAAATTCCCTACGAGTTAAATAATTAGAGTTTCATGTATGGATTAATTAATTGGATTTCCATTAACATAATAGATTTCTAATTTAAAGGAAGATTTCTTTGTTGGAAACCTTGTTTCATTGTTGACTCCGGGCACGAAGTATGTTTGGGATTTACTCAATTATAATTTAGATTTGTTTTCTTCATTATCACTGTTAAATCTTTCGATTAAAATTATTTATGAGATGATCTTTAATTGAGTTTGAAAACTGGATCATTGCCAGATATTGTAGAGAATTGTAATAGGATCCTTGATGCTTTAGTATTCCCAATTATTGTCTCACACCTTAAACTTTTTTGTTTTCCCAAATTAATTCTCTCAAATCTTTTCAAAAGCTATTTTATTTTTTTGTCTCTCAAACTTGGACTCTTGAGTTTATTATTTCAAGACAACATACGCTTGGGTGAAGAAATCTTAAAGCTGTAGCACTTTCCCTTTAACTCCGTGGTTGGGGGAATCTTGTGACCATACAATAGCTTGATCATGTCTTTAGCCAAAAAGTGATCAAAAATTTGATCGGCCTTACAAATGTCAAAGTTGTACTTCTAGTTGTTGTTTTCAGATCCTTTATCGACGCTTATCAAGGATTGCGCTTGATCTTCAGAGGCCCTGGATAAGGCATTTCACACATGTGGTCTTCTGGCCAAAATCTATGTCATGTTTAATTCCAACTCTTAGTCTAGTTCGACCATGAGTACCTTTGTATTAGGGTCCCCGTAGTGTATACCCTTGGACGTGTTTCTACGGTCCAACTCCTTTCGTAAAATATGCTCATAATGCATAGCTTGCGTCCCGATTCAAACAATTCGTTGAACTCCATTCTTCAAACTTCTTATGAAGCTTAAATTTGAGGTCATTCTGCGCAATGCGCCAGTACTCCATCTCCGGCAAGGCCAATTGACACCTATTCCTGGGATTCTTAAATTGTACAATGTACTGCTATGTGATTTCTCTCATCATCTGGTAATACCTAGCCAAATCGGTTAGAACTGTTCATGAAACTTATCTTCTAGTTGTTGCCAGCTAAACACAGAGTTTGGTAGCAGGTCAATGTACCATCTAAAGGTTGTCCCACTAAAGAAATTAACAAATAACCTTAGCTTCAAAAACTCGTTGGCCCCCGCCTCACCTCACTACATTGTGAAGCAGCCAATGTGATCCACAGTAAATTGATCGTCCTCCCCATAGAAAGTAGCAAACACTAAGACCTTGTACCCCCAAGGCTATTCATATTCTTTGTCAACCTAATCTAGATAGGGTTTTTGATATGCCAACCTTGTAAGCCGCCTCATACGGGCCGACATACTCTTGCATGATTTCGTCTAGCTGATCTCTATTCATGACCTAGGGCGCCGTGAGAAGAATAATAATTGGTGGTTGCCTATTTTTCCCCCGAACTCGGGTACAGGGACCACCTCATCTTGGAACAGAGGGTTATTATGCCTTCAATGGCCATTCCTGGCCTACTGTGCCCTAAGGGGCAGTAAATATGAAGGAAACACAGGCTGTGGTGTTTCTGGTTACACTAGGGGAAACTGCAACTGCCTAGCACCCCTAGGGCGGTTCGAATTTGTCAAAAAGTCGTTCCAAAGCTTGTTTGGTGCAGCCAAATTCCTCTCTTATCAACCTTTCAAGCCATTGATGAACCCAGAGACCTCCCACGAAACCTCTTGTGACAAGGCCTTATAGAGGCCTCTAGCTCTAAGTTGAAATTTCAATTTTCTTGCCCCTAGAGTGGAGGCACTTGTTCCTCCAGTTTGGGATCATCAGACCTGCCTTCTTTAACAACTTCATGCACTAGAGACACCTTAGATATGCCAACTTTTGCCTTTCTACGAGTTTTAGCCATCTGATGCCTAGAGTCCCATCAGGTGTGCCAAAAAATATATTTGTTGTATTTTTGAATTACAAGAATGCAAAAGTCCAAACGGACTTAAAATATAAGTATGTGCGACCTTACCTCTTCGAACCGACCTAAGATTCTTAAATCGTGATTGTTCAGACAATTGAAGTGAGGCGTAAGGCTATCTCTGAACTCTTTTCTATGTCTTGGTGGTCAAGGACTTAAATAATTTCCTATTGACAATGTAGACGGTTGGAATATAGAAAGGTTACTCATATGTAAAGATAACAACAAATACTTAATGCAAAAAGAAAAAGAAAAAGGAATATTGGACTTAGCATTAACTGAATAAAAAAATCACTGAAGTGATGAATTACATCCTAAAGAGGACTTGCATAGAAATAAACTAAGCAAAACTAATATAAACAAGAGACTGGTTTTGTGTAGATTTGTTGTGTTGATCGAGGATCTTTTCTCCGCAATCATGCCTTCGATATTTATAGAAGATGACTTCTAGCCATCAATGTCATCTGTCCCAGCCATGATTGCAATTATGGTCTCTTTCCCTGAAATATTAGGTCATGCACCAAACCGTCTCCAACTAGTAGCTCGTCACGCCTCCTTATTTCTCGAGCTTAAAATCTCACTTCTCTTAATCGTCACGTCACTCCTCCACGTATCTCCTCTACGCTTTCAAACAAAAAAATCTAGAGTTCGAGTCTTGCAAGAAGTATTTAAGGAGACAAAAAGCCAATGTTTGTCAAGTTTAATACTTGAGACGCGTGACCGAGTAAGGGACGTACAGGGCCGGTAAGCAAACTGATTAAGAAAGTAAACAAACTCTCTCTCTCTCTCTCTCTCTCTATAACAACAATTTTGTATTTGTAAAGTCAGACAGACTATGCTGTTAAAAATTACAATTTTTAAAGATAAAATTATTATTTTTTTCCATTAAATTACACTTTTAAAGGTAAAGTTATAATTGATCGAGAATATTTATGATTGATCATAATATTTCATAATCGATCATAATATTATTTTAAACATTTATAACTTCATTTTTAAAAAATGTAACTTGATTTAAAACAATAATAACTTTCAATATATTAAAATTAATTTTTTTTTGAAGTATCATAGAATTACCTAAAATAAGACCCATACGTGGGAGTGGAAAACCTCAGATGGAAAGAACCATCGGGTCAACAATAATAGGTTCACGTGTGGTAGCGTCACCTAACTAGAGTTACATTAGTTGCGGCGTTTTTTATGAGAGAGAGAGAGGGACAGAGCGAAAATGTGGTTTGCTTTGCTTTTGCTGATGTTGAGTTTGCGTAACTCTTCTTGACTTTGTGCTTGCTGCTGTTCTGTCTCTCTCTCTCTCTGCTGAATTTGAGGAGTATTTTATATTTTGTTGTAATCCCAATACTTAAGTAATCAATTAATATATCTGATTAACTAATTGTTTCAATTGCCCAACACTTGCGGCGCTAGAATAGGACATTTACATTTCAATATTTGAAGGAAGGAAACTAAAAATTTGTCTACTATGTGACTTTTGCCTCAACCTAAACTCAGATTTTAATTCATTTCAATACTGTCCTGTCCCTTTTAAATTTTTCTCAATTATAAATCAACCTATCGGTGACAAGTTCAACTATATAGACTATATGTTTTATTTGAATTCGTGTTGGGTGATATATCATCAAAAGAAATTGAGATATAATATAATGAATAGATCTTGAGCATACTATTTGACCTACGACATAAACATGGTGTTTGATTATTCGCCAAGAATCTCTCTTGGTGATCTTTTGACAATCTGTTGTCTTATGTAACATGCCCTAAAGAAAATTAACAATTCAATTTAGCATAAATATGAATTATTTTATTTTTATTTTTTTTGTTTTGTTTTGTTTTGGGAGTGGTAACTGTTGGACCTTTGAATAAATGTTTTCTGCAGTGCAGGTGAACCTTGTCGTCTTGAAATGTTTGGTATGAATATATATGTTGTCTTTCTTTTGCTGTAATAATCACATTTGAATAAGAAGTCCTAATGATTCAAAGAGCCCTGTCTGAGTTTCTAAACATTTATAGCCATCCCTTTGACTGTGAATGGTATGCATTCTCTCTGAATTGGAAAAATTAGCCGGGCTGAGAGGAGATTGATGGAAAATAACCCAAATGAAAGAAGGAAGCTTTGCCATTACACTTGGTCCCTCCGTGGATATAAACTTCCCTTCCCAGGCAATCCACTAGAATTGTGTTATGTGTGTTTCTTATTTCTACTTTGCTATTTGTGTATGGGTCTCGTGCATAAAATGCTCGCTGAGAAGGATAGCTGCTGCTTGCAAAGCAACATTTGAAATTGAAATGATAAAATGTTGGCAACAATTGACATTTCTATCAAAAAAAAAAAAGATAACCAAGAGGAAAAAAACATGTTTTCTTGTACGCATAAAAATCAAAAGGTCTCTCTCCAACATAGAATTCTCCTTACCGTCTTAGAAGAATACAATCCATTCTGACAAGCCTAAGCTAAAAGACCATGTCCTATGACATGTCAGAACAAAACTCTGGGAATAAAATACCAACAAATCTGCAGAATGAACTGATGCCAAAGGAAGTTTCAAATAAAGATTGCATAGTGAAAATCCTCAGAGAAGGTAATTCCTCCACCATGGCCAAGAAGAGTCAGACGTCAGGAACAAAGCATTAGGACATCGAGCTGTACAATCGAAATTCGAGTCTTATTTAGCTATCTCTAGTCTTTACACACCAACATTGTCGCTGCTTGAATCTGTTAGAATTGTCAATCTTCTAGCTGTTTTCATAAAGTCACTGAAATGGCAACAGGAAAACTTTTAAATGAATTAACCTTCAAAAATAGGTTGCTTATCGATAGATTTCATTACCCACTTTTTGCATTTTAAAACATAGAGATTTGAGAGAACATTAGCATTGTAGGAGCAAACGCAAGAGAAAAGGCAAATGATTCCTCACCTAAATGGTTCATCTCCAAGCTGCTTGACAGCACCTGTCACGTCTCTATAGAGCACATGGTTCAGTATCTCAGAACTTTCAATGCCAAACATGCTAGCCAATTTTCTGTACAGTTCTTCATAAGATCCAAGCAATGAAAGGTCAAGAGTTCGACCTACATCCTCCGATTCCATGAAGACTTTGCACTGACCAGTTTCTAAGTTGGAGTCAGCTTCTCGGTCTTTGTACCATTGGAGCCCGTCAGAGGATAAGCGCTCTGTTAGGCCAGGACGATGAAGTGCTGAACCTGAACCAGAACCAGAACCATCAGAATTATTGGCTATCTTGTCTGCATTCCCATCTGAAAAACTATTGCCAGTGCGAACTGGCGAGACTGTATCACCAGAGCAGCTTAAAGAGATTTGTTGCTCAGTGAGTATTGGTTGACCAAAAAGTACGAACTGGGGTGCCTTTCCATTATCAGATTTCTTTGAAGTCTGGATAGAATTACTCATGGTTAGCAAGCAAGAAACATTCTCAATGTTGATAGGCCTATGGATGATGGGGTTATTTGAGGGTCTGATGGGTACAACAGTATGATCAAGGGGCGGGTAACCAGCCGGAAACAGACCTGATTGCATTTTATTGAGATGGAGATCCGATAAAGATAAACCATAATGAGCATGCCTGGCTCCCTGCATGCCAGCAGGAGTGTTGTCAGGAAGACAACTGAAGGGGCTGCTGGCCCCAAGGAGGTTGCCCGAAAATGTGGGCATAGGAAATTGGCTTTCGAGTGGGAAATCTGGGTGTTGCGGTAGTCTCAACTTCTTCCGAGGCGGCGAAAAGGGGGAGAGATGGATGTTGGGCATGTTTGATACTAATTCCACCAGCCAAGGGTTGACGCGTTTCACATTTTGAAGCAAATCAGGCTCATCCCACGTCACCTACAACACATTACTCCAAATAAGAAAGGAAGGGAGGAACTTTTGCCAATCATTCAGAAAGGAGAACGTGATCACCAAACACCATAGTTGAGTCTAATTTGGAAATGAAATTAGATGGAGATGAGGGAGTGGCCTAGTGATGATGGCCCACTCTTCCCCACCCCTGATGGCCCACTCTTCCCCACCCCCCACAAAAAAAAAAAAAAAATTGAAGTTAGAAAGGGAAGAAAAGAGATAAACATGAAGTCAGAATTTTTGTACTTAATGCAGTCATAGAAGAATTACATCAAACATTTTTTTTCAAAAGGAGAGGCAACAGAAGTTGCATTAGTGTGTTTGCAATGAAATATCCAGCCAGAGACTGTTTATCTTTATTAACAGGTAGGATGAAACTGTAAACCTCTTCGTAGTCTGAAAACAATGCAACACAGTAGGAGCAGTCTACAACTTCAGTTCATACCAGGAACAGAACATGCTCAAAACAACACAACTATGTTAAGTACGGAAAAAATGCTGAAATAGCATGTAAAGCATAACAAGCAACATCCAGATATCATAACATATCAGAACTTGTGGCAGGGTAAAAGCATTCAAAAGTTAAAAACAAATAAGAAGCAATCAATACATGTACAGTTTCTGAACCAAAAGCACGATCTTCAGCTAAAATGAGATGCACAAATTAATTATACCTGAAGAAGCCTCCAAGGCGAATCCGGCCAGTGAATGGGATCGGAGATTTGAGCAGAGGATATGGTACCCATGAACCAACTTATTCGTGAAGAATCTTCAGTTTCAAAGGCCATTTTGAACCTCATCCCTGAGCACCACCGTATTTGCAATGCTGCCTTTACAAGCGAGGCCTTCACACAGAACTCTGGAGTGCTTCCTCGAGGGTAGTAAACAACCTCAAAGGGCTGTCCCTTGGCTGCAAGGGTTGCAGCTTCAATAACGGATTCAGCCCTCACTCTTCCCCTGCCCACCAAATTCCCATTACTGCTTGAGCTGCTATCATTACCATTTCTAATAAATTTGTTCTCATCTTCTCTCAGAAATGCCGAAAACCCTCCATATGGCACAACACAATTCCCAACAGATACATTCCAGCCGGACGATGATTCCGGTCCACCTCCAATTCCCCTCTTTGCCCGCCGGATTCCAACACAAAGATCCCCATTCTCTGCCCTTAAAAACACAATTGAATCCCCTGCAACTAGCTTCTTCTGGTTCACAAAAGTACTCCATCCTGTCGTTAGAAGATGACGCCTTGGTGTCCCTCTATAGATATGCCTGAATTTCCAAGTCTCACCATGAACATCCTTAGCAAGGATCGTTTGAACTGGAGGATCTGCTGAGTAATCCAACCGAGGGAAAATTGTCTCTGCACAATACCTAGGAACAGAGAAACCTCCACCATTATTCGCATCTGATTGTGTCAATGTCTTTGCGAATGAAGTGGGCTTATCTTGGTTATCCACTCCATTCATCCCCACAATTCCATCATCAAAACTAACCTCATTATCACCAATGGGAACCAACCTAGTTTTAGCATAAACCTCATCGGTCTCGGGATCCGCCATGAATTTGATAACGGAAACTCTACAAGGAATATATGCCAGAACCCTAGGTAAACTCCTAAAATCGACATTCCCAAACGCGTGCTCTGCGTGACCCTGAGGGAAGTAAAACACTTTCGAATTCACCGGTGGCATTTGTACCATACTCCCGGCACAGGCATGCCACAATTGAGAGTCTAAGCATTTATCAGTTTCCTTCATTTTATCTTTTGATTCCATGAAAGTAATCATCTCGACTCAAATTGACAGATTATACAACACCAATCAAACAACTCTAAAATGCATAAAAACCACGTTCTTTAGATGATTTTCCCTAATTCTTCATCATTTCACAGTAAATGCTGTAACCAAATAGAAAATTTAATTTAGACATAATAGTAATAGCAATACAGAATCAAACAAAAACACAGAGAAAACAATAAATTTCAGTGTTTACCTCTTTATCTCTACTCAGCAACACCAAGAAAACCAGAAAAGGCATATTAATGTGTCCAAACACAGCTGAAAATCAGAATGTTCCAGCCTCGTACTGTTCTTCAAATCCGGAAAAATTATTTCTGTTGGAAGACTCCTCTGAATTTCTCCCAAGAAAACCTCAAGTTTTACACAAATCTTCACTGCTGATCTTCAATTACAAAAATCCACACCCTAAACTAAAAATTCGATAAATTACGGCCTCGTCACAAGAAATTTAACAAAACAACTCTCATTTTCTCCAAGTTTATCACTTGAAGCTCTCTGATTATTCAATATTGTAGCAGAACAACCCTTACTTCCAAATTAAAAACCCTAACTCTATGCTTACAGTACATATGGCGCTTGAGTTCACAAGTGCTCTCTCTCTCTCTCCCCCCAAAAATATCAGTAACTAACTCTAAACAAGAAAATCTCTGCGGAATTTAGCAGAAAAAATGGATCTTTGATCGAAAACTAAACCATAGTAGAAAAAAAAAATCATAACCCATCAAGAATTTGATGATGATTTTGCTTTTCCTTCACTCTCTTGTCATCTTTTTGTCTCAACAAAGACCCATTCAAGCACAACCAACAACAACAGCAACAACCAAACAAGTCCTTAACCGACACACCATGCATTCACAACAACAGCAACAAAGATTTCTTAAAAGATTCATTTAATGCCCTCTCTCTCTCTCTCTCTCTCTCTCTCTCTCTCTCTCTTTTGGATCACTACAAAAAGTCCAAAGCCATCACCACAATAAAGTTTTTACACACACGGCATGCATATATACATACACTCACACACACACATATATATATATATATATGTATATACATATTTATAATAGCGTAACAGTGCTATAGCTTAGTACTTTTACCTGAATATTTAGTCAAATAATATTTTCTTACCTTTTTCTTCGGATCTGAAGAAACTCTGTTGTATCTTCAGAAGCCAGCAAAACAACAAAGATCTTAAACCAAGCAAAGCAATCCACTTTTCCCCGTTAAATATACAGATAATATTTTAATGGGTTGCTATTAAAAACCAATTTACCAATTCTCCTTCCTAATCAACCTGATTATTTATTTCGGGTTTATTATAAATTTAGCGTAATTAAAGATTTAATGGGATATCGTGATATATTTGAAAATATCGAGACATTGTAGTGAGGGAGAGTCATGGTTGTAAGTCAATACTGCTCTAAAAGCAAGGAAGAGAAGTTAACTAGACATGGGTTAAGTGTGTTGACTAGGGTTAATGACTCTTGGGTTGGATTTGGGGTTTGGGTTTTGGTTTTGTTGGTTTGTACTTGTGTGTTAAAACTAGGTGTTAACTGAAACTGCCTCCTTTTTGTTAGCTGGGAATTAGTGTGCAGTTGAGGGAGCACTCTCCCTTTTAAAGCGCGTGAAGGCCACATACATATTTGCATAAATTTATTTGATAGAAATTTAGGCGCATTAAGATTATATCACAAAAAAAAAAAGTATTCAAAAATAATTTTTGAGATAAATTTTAAGAAAATATAATTGAAAATTTTTATATTACAAAATCTATTTGGTTATATACATTTTAAAAATAGTTTTCAATGACAAAAAATAGTAAAACTTCTTTAAACAATAATTCACAAAAAAATTTCTACCCCATTTTTTATCTTATCACTCCACTTGTTCTCTCTCCAAACCTGTCTCTCTGTCTTTTTTTCTTTCTTTCTCTCTCCCTCTCTATCTCTATCTCTCCATTATCTTCTCACATAGCAAACACACGCAGTCATCGTACACAACACACACACACACAGAGTACACACACATCGCACAATATATATACAAGTAATTACTCGTACTTGAAGGTACGGTGTTATTGACAAATTAGTTACAAATATTTGTTCATACATAAATGTAAAGTAAAATACAATATTGTAGTAAATGAAGAATAAAATAAGTCCGCTAATATTTTTTATAACATCAACCTATATGCATAGGATATATTTCCACATTAAATTATTACGCCAAAAAAACTATGTTATATCTACTAAAATATAATAATTCAAACATCTGAAAAAATATATCAATTGACAATATTCAATGTTCTGTTTTTTATTTAAAATCCACGATTTTAACATTCATAATCAAGTTTATCTAAACAATAACATAAATTATAACTAATAAAATAAAAATTAAAACAATACTCCCACAAATAAAGTAAGTCTACAGATGATCAAATATAACTATCAGAAATTCAACCAACTTTAAAAAGATACGATTTGACTATTGAATTTGTATGATTCAAATTTAAAGTAGTGTTTTTAATTTTATATCATTCTTCTCGGTTATTTATATTCTTAGTATATTTTATTAAACTAAACGTTATTTAGTATTGGATTATTTAGTAAAGATTGTTGTTTCATGTTGTTCACTAAATATTGAATTTGTATGATTCGTATTCATAATATTGCTTATAACTTTATATCGTTTCTCTTGTTTGTAATTTTGTATCATTTTTTTTGAGTATTTAGGTTTTGATTATTTAGTAAATATTGTTGTTTTGCGTTGTTCACTAAATATTAAATTTGTATGATTCGTGTTTGTATATGAATTTAATCTTGTATATTTTAAATGTTAAGCATATTTTCTTTAATATATCTCTTAATAGCTGAGTTACCCAATAACTTGAATTTAATCTTGTATATTTTACATGTTAAGCATATTTTCTTTGTTAAATTAGATTTTTTTGCAAGTTATGCTTCTTTTTTTTTAATTGATTATGAAAAAAACAAAATTGACTATTAAATTTATATGATTTGAGTTTATAATAATGCTTTTAATTTTATATCATTATTCTCGGTTATTTATATTTTTAGTAAATTTTCTTTAAACTAAACGTTATTTAATAAAAATTATTGCTTCGTGTGTTCACTAAATATTGAATTTGTATGATTCGTTTGTATTATTTTTCTCGATTGTAATTTTGTATCATTTTTCTCGGGTATTTAGATTTAGATTATTTAGTAAATATTGTTATTTTGTGTCGTTCACTAAATATTAAATTTGTATGATTCGTATTTGCTTATGAATTTAATCTTGTATACTTTAAATGTTAAGCATATTTTCTTTAATATATCTCTTGATATTTGAGTTGCCCAATAACTTGAATTGAATCTTGTATATTTTACATGTTAAGCATATTTTCTTTATTAAATTAGATTTTTTACAGGTTATGCTTTTTTTTTTATTGATTATGGAAAAAATAAAATTGACTATTGAATTTGTATGATTTGTGTTTGTAATATTGTTTGAATGAAAGAGAGAAATACAAAGAAATATTTTCGTGATATATACTATCTATCTAATATTTATTGCATAATTTTCCTTCAGAGACAAATAACGAGAAATATTTTTGTAATATACTATCTCTCTCTGTGATATATACGATCTATCTACAGAGATATGTAGTATTTGTTTGAATCAAACATTATCTAATATTTTTGTGAGATACATGGGAAAATATTGTGGAAAACTGATACTTTTTGCATGAATTGAGCGTGAGAGAGAGATACTGAGGAATGAAGTAGAGAGAGATTTACTTGATTTAAAGAAAAGATTTGAAAGAATTAAATTTTAGAATATTAATTTTAAAAATTATAAATTTTGAACAGTAAAAATATTTCAAAAGGGTTAATGTGGTACGTCGAATCAAAAAGATCTGAGACGTCAGTAGCTCGAGATAGTTTAGAATAACGTCGTCTGTTAGATGATTTTTTATTTTCTTTTTGGTCACGAAACGATGTGGACCATTCTTTGTCTCCAAAATTTAAATTCGTTCTACTTTATTATATATATATATATATATATATATATATATATATCTGCGAGAGAGAGAGACAAGGCGACAAGTGTTCGTCTTCAGCCTTCATCGGTGCATGTACAGTTGGTGCTCTTCGGCAGTCGTTGGTGCTCGTATAGTTGGCACTCTTCGTTCGGCCTTCGCTGTCGACCTTTGGGGGGCATATTTTTTAGCCAATAGAATTCGATAGTGGGATCTCATTAATTGGACACTCTTGTTTTCCATGTTTTCACTTTTTTTGAAATTTGTTTTCCAAATTCGACCAAAATGCCTCTCACTTGTTCTCTAAAACTCCATCTCAATTCCCCTTTTTTTAAAAATTAGAAATTAAAAAAATATAACCAAACCAATCAAGTTTTTCTTATTTTTAGAGTTTTGAAAACAAAAAATTATTTTATAAACACAAATCAAACAAAAGTTTTGATAAATTTGAATCATAGTTAAATTAAAAGATTTATTGAATAAATGAGTTGATACACTCAAGTATACATAATCAATTTCATTATACATAACAAGACTATATAAGATTTAAGCAGAAGAATGCGATACCAAAATAAAATTTAATACCGTACTGTCAAATTTTACAAATTTTGTGGGTTAAGATACAAATTTTTGAGTTTTTTTTTTTTTTAATCTTTTTGAGTGTGTTTATAACAATAGAATTTTATAACTTTTTGAGTCAGGACTTTTATGGTTAATGTGAAACCTAAATTGTTGAAGTTATTGAGACAAAATAGGAGTAACTTATAAGAGTTAAATTCTTTAAAGGGTGAAAACTATATTTTGGCATTAAAAACATTTTATGATTAAAGTAAAAATATTACAAAGGAATTGGGATGTATTTATAAATAGGTCAAATATATAAAGATGGATAAAGGCATCGGTGGAGACATCTCTTGACAAACGTTCTCCACTCTTCCACTCTCTCTCTCTCTCTCTCTCTCTCACTTCAGGAACACTAGAAGCTAAATTGTTTTCTAGTTTTTCTTGTGGGTTTGCTGAAATTTTGTGGGGGAACTTCTATTAATTAGATTAGAGGTCTTTTGGAGAGATACACACTTCTTTTTGGTTGTTAAAATTGATTATTAAGACCTAAAACAGGTTTTAAAAAGTTGAATGTCATGGTTGCATGCATCTAGTGGGGGGTTGTATTGATTATAGAATATCTCATCTTGTTATGCATAATTCATTAGATTACTTTTGTATTAGTCTCCAACCTGAGAGTTGGATATTTAATTAAGTGTTTGCATGTTTTGGTGGTATATTTGAATGATAGGTGTAAGTTTGGATTGAGTATTCATGGTGAGAAGAAATAGAAATTCATGTTTAGTTCTTGGAGAATTAATTCATAAAAGCTTTATGAATTGTTTAAATTGATACTTAAAACTTGTTTTTGATGATTGAAAAAAAAAACGAAAAATTAGTGAAGGGTGAAAACTAATTTTGGAGTTGATTTAGGTGGGTTTTGGTACACGGGTGGAAGAATGGAGCTGGTAATAGTATTGCGTACCCAATAGAAAACCAGCAATAACTTTCTTTAGAAAACTCTGATTCGCGCACCGTTTGAAGCGTAGAAAACTAGATTCGAAGCTCGTTCCAATGGTATATGGTGCAACCCCAAATTATGCCTATGCAAATTGTATTTTTGTTTCAAAGTGAGTAAGAATTGGGAATAAATGGTAAATTTGATTCCCGATGAAAAAGTAATGCTAATGTTTTGCTCGAGATGTCATTTAAAACTCATAATAAGGTTAGAAACTTATTTTAGTAAAGTCAATCAATGGGTTCACATTTCCATTAAACGCATATTAAGCATTTGAGAAAATATTTAAGTGAAGGGAATGAGCTGAAGTGAGACTAAAATGGCTTGATTTAAGTTTTGTGGAATGCGATATATATAAAGGGGTATAAAGTAAGTAAAATTA